TTGTTACGTTAATGCAAACATTTTTATCATCTCTATTCTTAATAACATTACATATGTAGATTTTAAAAAACTGCCCTTCTGTGTATTAACAGGGACTAGTGGCATCTATCACTTTTGTACTGTCAGTGAAACTTTATTGCCCTGTGTATTGTCTTTGTGTCAGCTTGCTGTAGGAATTTTTCTGCATTTTATAAGAAATAATGTGCTGCTGAAGACTGAACTGAGACTTGAAAAACCGTAGGTGTTAGTTTAGAATTTTCTACTTATCCATCAGTTAACCTTTGAAGATTCACAACGTTTGTGAAGCTCATAATCCTATCTCTAAAATGGGACAAGAAATACTTTCCCTGACTTCTCCCATATGATCGAGGTGTTAGGAGCAAATGATAATAATATGAAAATATTTTAATCTTGTGACACTCTATGCAGAAATAAAATGTAATTATATGATGAATTTAGGCTGGACTTTGAAAAATGGTTTGATTTCTGTTTACTGACATCATCTATCATGCACTTCATTGACATCATGTGATCAACCAGCCAGAATACATTTCTGAATATTATCGGTCCGCTAATCCACTTTTATTATCAAGTTTTAGCCCAATAAAATGTGCACTCACATTTTCTACTGTCTTCATTCTGAGTACTTCATATAGTCCTCCCAGAATAGATGCTAAGGGTTGTACTTCTCATACCAGGTATATTGTCTACCTGTTGAAGGCCAGTTGCCGCTGTTCCTAGGTGCAATGCAGTGATTTGGCTGTGTTTTGCTCACTGATATATCTCAAGCATCTTGGGATTGTAAGTAGCTTTTATGATCCTTCAATAAATACTTGCTAAATGAATAAAAACTATTCTCATCCTTGATACAGAAAAGATCTGAGTACGAGTAGAAAAAATGTTGTAATCTACCCATGGCATATTTCTAAAAACTATTTATGGTCATTATTTTTTTCTCTTCTCTCTTCCTGTCAACACAAGCTGCTCTGTGCTGTACTTGAGGAATGCCAGTAGACTTAGCTGGCATGAAACTCATCCATACACAGATAGCATTCATGCTTCTCCCTTAAAACACACTCAGTAAAGACCAAGAGAATGAACAGCAGAGTAGGATCTCTACAATTCTTTTCCCAATATTAAGATTCTATATTTTCACATACTGTTTTTATTAATAGGAATTATGATTATGAAAAAATTCAAGTAATACAAATAAAAAATCAAATAGTATGAAGAGTTAATGGGGAATGTATCTCCCTTCAATACTTTCTCACTATTTTCAATATTTTCCCAGAACTATCTGGCTACCAGTGACCTATATATCATTTCAGATATAGCTCTCAAGATCTAAAGGGTATCACGATACATATCTTTTCTTACAAAATGTTTTGTCCCAATACATATTGGTTGTCATTTATATCAGTTTATGGAGGTCTGTTCTATTTCTTTAAGGCCCATAATAATATAATACCATATGGGAAAAAATTGATGAATAATCTCTACCCTTTGGTTTTTTAAATCTTTTATTACAAAAATATTGAGATAAATATTCTTATCCAAATTTCTTTGTAATAAAGTGTGAATACATTTGTTGCATACAATTCTAAAAGTGAAATGACTAAGCAGGTGGAGGTTCTCGTACACTATTTTTCTATGCTTAAATTCTTGTGTTTTTTTTTTTGTTAGATTTCTCTTTACATATCCTTTGCTGATTTTTCTATTGGAATTTTTATTGGCTTAATAGTAATTTAAGAATTAAATGTTTGCATATTGAGTGTCATAATATCTTTATTTTGTATGCCATTAATTATAAATTTGGATAATAATATTTCTCATGCAGAAATGTTAAGAATTATGTAGTCTAATTTATCTGTACTTCATGACTAGTTAACTTTGCACTATAGTTTTTGAAATGTTGCAATCTTGCATTACATCAGAGAAAAGATTTCTTAACTCTAGTATTACAAAAACTTCTCTGATTTTTTTCATAATGTTTTTAGGATTTCATGTTTTTCTGTGTATTTTTTTTTTACCTAAAGCATATTCTTTTTAAGGTGTAAATAGCATAGAATTCAAAACATTATTATTATTTTAAATAACGATTTTACTCAAAGAAGATTTAAGAATTGAAATGTCCCTTTTTTAATATACTAAATCCATATTGGGCATCTATTTCTTTCTGCGGCTCCTTTGATTTATCAGTATATTTAGGTTGTTTTTAGTTTTTAAAGCTATATTCTGTTGTACTGTTTTACAGAGCTAATTCCCATCTTCTGTTCTCCTTTTTAAGAATGTTCCTGGCAATTCTTGAAAGATTTTTTTTCCAAGTATACACTATGATATGCTTGTTTGGTTTATAATAAAATTAATGTTTTTAATCAGTTCTATGCTAAATTTATAATTAATTTATTGAATGAATATTGAAAATTGAAAAAAATATGACTTTCTGTTTATGTATCTCATTGCATCTTCTTGTATATTTCTATTTTTCCTTTTTAAAAGGTTTTGCTTAAGTAGTTCATCTTATTCTATTGTTATTGAAGGTGGCCTCTTTACTTCCATTACACCTTCTAGATGGTTGGTTTTATATAGGAACTAAAAGTTTTGTTTGTATTTTCCTAGGTTTGATATAGTAACATCTTTACCATCTAACAGTGTGTGTTCACACTGTTGTGAAAACAGATATCTGGAGCCTTTTTATCTTGCAAATCTGAAACTCTACAACTATTCAATGACAACACTTTTTTTTGCATCTTATCATATCTCTTAGTAACTACTATTCTACTTTCTGTTTCTATGAATTTGATTATTATAGATACTTCATATGATTGGAATCATGCCATACCTGTCTTTTTTTGTGAATAGCTTACTTCATATAGCATAAGTCTTTAAAGTTTATACATGCTATCACATATAATAGGATTTCCTTACTATTAAAGCTTTGTATATAAAAGGCTTGTTTTTATAAAACACTTTGTGTTTTTCTGTTTAGGGACATTTGCGTTTCTTCTATTTCTTGTTTTTTGGGAGTGGTGCTGTTATGAACATAGGTGTGCAAATATCTCTTGAAGTCCATCTTATGATACTTTTTAATATATACCAAGAATTGGGATTTCTGTATCATGGGATAATTCTATTTTTTTTTTTTTTGCTTTTTAAGGGACTCTGTACTCTTTTCCACAATGTACACACCATTGTACAATTCTACCAACAATGCATAAGGATTCCAATTTTTCCCCATCCTTGCTAACAATTGTTATTTTCTGTACCCTCTACTCCAATTTTCTCTTTTAAGTGTTGCCATACTGATGGCATGAGGTGCTATCACATTATGGTTTTTATTTCCATTTCTCTGATTAATAGTGATTTTGTGTATCTTTTCATATATGTGTTGACTTGACATCATAACTGGAGAAATGTCTATTCAAGTATTTTGCTTGTTTTTTAATTGAGTTACTTAGTTTTGTTTTTTGTTTTTTGAGTTATATGATTTTCTTATATATTCTGGATATTAACTTCTTATCAGATATATGATTTACAAATATTTTCTTCATTCTCATTTTTCAGGTAGCTTCTCACTCTGTTGATTTTATAATTCTATTTGTCTATTTTTGCTTTGTATTTGTGTGATATATCCAAGAGATAATTGTGAAGTCTACTATTCTAAAATTTTCCCCTATGTTTTCTTTTAGGAGATTTATTGTTTTTGGCCTTGGACTTAGGTCTTTTATTGACTCTGAGTTAACTTTTTAACAGAATGTAAAACAGGATTCAACTTATTCTTTTGCATGTGGACATATGGATTTACCCACACTATTAAAGATACTGACCCTTTCCATTGAGTAGACTTGGCACACTTGTTGAAAATCATTTGACTGAGTGAGTACACAAAGGTTTCTTTCTGTGATCTCTATTTAATACTATGAGTCATATATCTGGTGAAACCAGTACAATATTGTTTTGGTCTCTGTAGCTTTGTGGTATATTTTTCAGAAAGTCCAGGTTCTACAAAGCTGTTACTTTAAAAATTATTTCTACTATCTAGAGTTCCTTGAAATTCTATGTAAATTTGGGGGTGAATTTTTCTATTTCTACAAAAAAAGCCTTTGGAACATTAGTAGAAATAATGTTGAATTTTTATATCACTTTGGGTAGTATCACAATATCAGGTTTTCCAAATTTTCACCATAAAATGTCTTTATACTTATTTGGTGTCTCCCTTACTTTCTTTCAGCATTATTTTGTAGCAAACTGTATAGAAATCTTTCAACTTTTTGTATAGTTTTATTTATAAGTATTTTAGTATTTTTATGCCATTGGAAATGGAATTGTTTTTTAAATTTTCATATTGTTCATTGTTATTGTATAGAAATGAAACTGATTTTGATGTGTTAATGTTGTATTTGTTTATTATGATACTATTTTTGTTAAACATTAGGATTTTCTAAGATAATATCATATGATGATTACAGAGGTAACTTTAGTTGCTCTTGATTCATAAGTAAAGTCTCTTAATTTTCTCCATTATTTGTGATACCAGGTTTTCCCTTGGTCTCTATCCATGTCTATATCTATCTGTACATGTATATAGTAAATGTTTTGTAAGCATGTGAACAGACACACAAATTTGTAACACATTTAATTAGAAATTACAGTTATGTGTGGAATGTTTGATAAAGAGTCAGGTAGAAAGAATGTCATTTCAAAAAACATGAATATATACAGAAACAGAATATTAAGATCTTTTCTAGATAATTTATCTTGTCCAGATAGTCCACCAAGACACAAGAAGTAGTCATGTTGTAAGTGCATTTACTTAAATTGTGTTTGGTGCTTCAAAATGAATCATTTATAGCTTGGTATTTAATTAACAACTTATCAAAAGAAATATGGTTTGTTTGTCAGCTTTCTTTTACTATCGAAAACATCTCAGATAATTAACTTATAAAGAGAAAAAGTTATTTTGATTCACAATTTTGTAAATTCCAGTCCATGGTCAATTGAACTCATCACGTCAGGCCTTGGCAAGGCAGCACTTTATTGTGGAAACACATGACAGAACAAAACCTACTGACCTTATGATTACAACCTAAAAGACAGGAGCAAGAAGAGACGATCCTCTTCGGGGCAAGCCCCCAGTGACTTAAAGACTCTGACCTCATCTATTAGAATCAAATCACAATAGCACCAAGCTGGGGACACAAGCTTCTAACATATGGGCCTTTGGGAGATACTCAAGATGTGAACTGTGGCAGATGGTACTGGGAAGGCTCTGCAATCTTCATAATTGAGTCGAGAATCCTCAAAGATCTCTAAAATCAATTTAAATTAGTAATGCTTAATTGTGGAGGCTACAGAGAATGATATGAAAAAGGAAATTGTATTCAGATTAGTGATATATTCAATATGTATATATCTATGTATAAGTATTTTTTTCCATAAACACTCTATAAGGGTAACCTTACCCACCTATAATAGCATTAAATTTTTAAAGACGTTTTCTCTATTATGGGAATGGTATGTTGGTAAGTAAACATTTTGAAATGGCTCCTCTTTCAATTTCTGAAAATGTTTCTTAATTTTTTTTCTTCCCATCACAGCCCACTTGATGCCACTCTTTTATATACATACATACCACGTACGTAATTCATTATTTTTCTTCTTAGCTTTCCTCACTTTCAAGTGCAGAGGTTTATGCCTGCCAATCAAAATCAAGACCTGAACCTCAAAACAATCAGAGTTTATGGTTGTCAAATAAGTGACTAAATACTCAGGGAATAATTAATCTTCTCTATAGACCAAGCTTAAAATTGAAGTAAACAGTGAGGGTTTATGCAGAGTTAAGGCAGACAGGATGGAGTCAAACCTGAATTGGGTAAGAGAGTGGAGATTAATGAATGCATGTACTATGAAAACAAAGATGTATTGTACATTCTAATTACTTTGTAAAGCATGTATGAACCATGCCTTAGATCCGGTAACTTTCTCTGTGATGTGATTTTCAACTCTTCCTGTGCTCCTATGGAAATACTTACCTGAAGCAGGAGTCAATCAATTACAGCCCATGAATC